TGGGCAGGCTGGAACCAGACCTCCCCCACACAACTGCAGCCCACTGCTACTTACAGCCTATAACATACACCCATTCCAAAGGGCTAGGAGCATTGTGTTATATCCATGCAAATGGGCTTTGTAGTGTGTGTGATACCCAAAGATCTGTCAGTATTGGGTACCTGACCAGACTGAGAAGATTAATTTCTCCCACTTTCTCCTACCAACTGATCATCCTCTCAAAGAGATTACATGGGTGCACACTGCTTGTGAGCTGATTTACTGTATATAGGGTGGCATCAGAAGAAACATTACTGAATCAAGGAGTTACATAAATGAACTTCAGAGAAGGATGAAGCCTGCTGAGTGTAAGAAGCAATTTTTCAGCAGAATTTCTCATTTACTATTGTTGGTACTTTTCATTCTAGTAAGGGAAATTTTCAAGAGTAATATACATCCCTAAAAGAAGATATTACAGTCACCTAACTTAACACCAGCTATGAATTTTGTCTAAAGACTATTAGGAAGAGTCTGACAGAAGAAAAAAAAACAACATTCTGTAGCTAAAACGTTCTGTAGCTAAAACGTTCTGTAGCGTTGCAGATACTTGTATTCAAAGATTTCTGTATTAGCATTTTAGTCACTTCTAAATGAAGATGTTTTTGTTCTCTCAGAGCATAACAGGAATAGGTGAAATACACTTCTGCTTGGTATTCCCCTGCCTACTACCTTTTGATTCACTTCTCTTTCAGTACAAAGACATCATCTATGTCTCCAAAAATCTCTGCATAACCCACAAGAGAACACTTATGATCCAGAGTCCAGTTTCATGATGCACAGCTGCATCATGATCTTGGCTTATCTTTACCAAAAAGCTTTTGGGGGAAGGGGAGGGGAGGCTGTGAGCAAGCTAAAGCTAATTCAAAACTGGGGAAAAAAAGAAGAAGGAAAAAAAAAAGAAGAAAAAGTAAAAGAAAGCTTCATTGCTAGTAAGCCAGTATTGGCTTTCTGATCGATCTGAGAAAAATACTGACAGGAGGTATAAAACCCTGGAGGAGAGTCAGAAGACAGCAACCCAGCAACACAAAGGATCAGTTAGCATCAAGGAATACTGGAAGCTGACAGTTCCTACACCAGTTTGATGACCATCTGGCCATTAGAATTTGTCCAGAAGTAGAGCCTTGTACATGTTAGTCATATCTATCTTCTGTGAGCGTTAATCAACAAGTAATTGCTGTTGGTTAAGGTGTGCAGACAGATGACTAGGACCTGGCCTGTGGTTTAGCTAACCAAACAGACCATGAGAAACTCTGGACATGACACAAGAAACTCTGAACATAACAAATAACAGTGAGAAGCTGATCATAGTTACAGATAGCACTGTGAGCAATGGCTGGACTTCACAGGTGGTTAAGGGGGAGTTATACAATAACTTCATGACTAACTTCACAGATAATTGGAAGAGAATAGTAGGGACTTTCTGCAGTGGAAATTTGCAAGGCCAGCAGCACCTAAGTAACTATCTCAGTAATACCAGGTAAAGCCAAGGTGACGTAGGTAATGGTAGAAGAAATATAAATGTGTGTGGGTACAGATGTAGCAAAACTGGGACTAATGGGGAAAAAGCAACTAGGGGCAAGTTGTTTCTTTGGGATATAAAGGGCAGAGAAAGCGAGGGGTCAAGGTGGATGGAGCAAGAACAAGCATGGGAAAAAATCAAGAGAAGGTGGATTAAAAGGGGCCAGTTGTATGCAGGCAAGCTGCTGGTCAGAGTTTATCTGACTGAGCCCTGCCACCCCATAACTGCAGGCTATCCAGTCTTTTTATTAAATCTTATTTCTATCAAATTTCTGCATGATCCTGGGGAGAGAAGGAGGGCAGAGGGGGAGCGAGAGCACTGCAAGTCATAGGAGTTGTGTACATGTATGTTTTCATCAGCAAACTTCAATCTTGATCAGTTGGAAAGGAAAAGAAGGATTGGGCTATCCGTGTTCCTATTTATGGGAATGCTGTTTGTGTGTATGTGGGTGACAAGCAGTGAAGACACTGCTCTCTGTGTTGTCTGTGTGGCTGATGACATTAGTGTTGTGTGTGTATCTGCATCTTTGCAATGTGTACTCAGCTTGGGTTTTGGCTGGACTTGCAAAAAGGAACAGCAGTAGCCACAGCTATCACTCTGAGATGGGAGACACCTCCTGGGTCTTAGGCTGCACCAGATTTGGCTCTAGTAGATGAGGAAAAAGAAATCTCCTTTGTCCCAGGATTCAGCTGCTCCTTAGCATTGTCTACTCTCAAGTTATGTATATCCTGCTGGCAGGGTCTCAATGCATACTAAAAGATGTCCAAATAAAAATGATCCTGTAGAAGTCACATACAAAAGATCCACCTCACATGTCACTTTCCTCCAAAATCAAGATGAACTTCAGGGAACGAAAAATTAAGGATCTGAATTTGGAGTTTTGTGGGGCTAGAGTCAGTCGTAGTAAAGCTGAAATTAAACCTTTAAACTGTCTTGCTGAGGCTGACAGAGGTTGAAGAAATATTGCCAGTTCTGATACTGATGGGGTAGGAAACACCCTACTGTAGGGGAACAGATCATTCAAAGTTGATTAGCAAAGCCAGTATTTAAACTGATGACACTTTTTCCCTAACTGAAATTGGGATAAACAGTTGTTTTTGTTGAGGTTTAAATTAGGGGTTTGCATTAGTTCAACTCCAGCCAGGACTGAACACAAGTGATTCAATTCTGAGAAGATTTCCATGATGGATTACATGTAACAATCGATAAGGTGACTCATCCCTCCACAACCAGTAATGGAGTTCAAGAAGCAACCCTGGGAAGTGAACAGAAAGCCTACTGATTTTCATTAATGAATGCTCATTTTGCTCCTTTGGGGTTTTAGGGGTTCTTAAGCACCTCACTGGAAGCACGGGGAGTTTTTTTCATTTGGGTGAGCAGACTCTTGGGAATCAACAAGGGAAAAACCCCTAAGCATCAGCTCATCCTGGGCTACTTGGTCCATCCACCATTCCTGATAGAAGGAAAATGCTGGTTATTCTACTTCATAGTGAATGGGGTCATGTTTGGATCCTAAATCATAGGAAAGGGCATTTGAGTGGCTGGTATGGATATAGGAATTGCTGTAGGGGAAAGTTTGAAAACCTCTATCATATAGTTCTTGGCACAAGATAAATATCTTTGATCAGACTGAAATCCCAAGAGCACAATTAATTACTGACAAAGTTTTTATCCCAAAATACAGTTACTTATTGAACTAGTGCTTAACTTTCATCTTTAGCTTGAAATTGATTCATTATTCAAATGAAAAATAACTTTTTTGAAACATTTAGAAAATGGATTGAAAACATAATGTCTGTAACAATCTCATATAATAAAAGCTACAGTTTTGCTTGATATTTTAATGAAATAAATTATGCCATGGGTTCCCAACAAGCTCACCATCATGAAAATTATTCTTGAATGCTTACCACAATAGCTGGATGCAGTGAAGACAAATACCAACAGGAATAATTGTTGATCATATGCTGGCTGGGTGACCCACTCTCAAATTTCTTATTTTCATTTATATCCTACAAAGGCTTCCAAAAGTAATTATGACATTTGGGTTTCTTATGATCCAGGGTGGGCCATGATTTTCTAAAACATGGCCCTATGGGTTTGATTTCTCAAATGTTATATATCAGTGCTATCACGCCCTAGTTAAACCAAAGGGAAATGCTGTGTGGCAGATGCTTTTGAAAAATCAGTCACGTATTTAGGTACATGAGGAAGAATTTTTTTCATTGCTGAAGAGAGCAGTATCTTACTGGATTTTGGTGAGATTTTTCTCTCCTTAAATGCTGGAAAGCTTCTCAAAATCTTCCTCAAAAGAAGATCTACTATTTCTGAAAATTCTGGCTCCAACATCTGGCATGAAACCTTCTGTGACAGACTTCTGGAGACAAAGAGCTGTTCAGTTGGCCACAATATGCTTTGTACTACAACCAACTACACCAGTGAAATGAGCTTCCTATGTAGGTATGTGTTTTCGATGAGCACTAATGACAGTGAATTGATCTGAATGTTCAAGTTGGCCATAGATTGCTTTGGGACTTCTATAGGACACCCTAGCCACACAGAGGTTCAGAGCAAGCTCTGCAACACAAAGCAATACAGCCATGTCAAACATGGTGAAGAGCGCGGGCTGATTTGCTCTGAGTGCAATGCTAACTGGCCAGAGTAAAGCACTGCACTACCATGACTTTACTGTTTCTGGAAACTAAGCTAGATATTTGCATAGCACCACCTCACCATGGAAACATGCCAGCTTATTTGGCAACAGCTCAACAAATCTGTACGGTATCTCAGTGACCTGTCTAAACATATCTAATTCATCACATCTAAAGTGGGAGGATGGGTTTCTTATCAAGGACCTATATGCAACAACGCATAGTATAAATGAGTTAATGCTACTTATGAAAATCTTCATAGTTCTTCAATCCTTTGTTCATGTATATTTCACAATAAGCTTTAAAATACTTTGCAGTTGCTGGTGTGTTGCTTTTAAACAACCAACCAGCTACCTATTTCAATGTTTAAAAAACTGTAACAAAGGTCAGCACAAAATCAGGATCTAAAGAGCACTGAAATAAACAGAAGTATTCAGAAGATACGTCATCCACACCAGTAAGAATTTACTTCACATTCCAAGTAGTTTTCTTCCTATAAAATTATTTCTTATTATTAATAATGTGGCAGCTTCTACAAGCCTGATCACAAAGCAGGATTCAGTGGTGTTAGGTGTCAAATGGAATAAAAGACTGTTACTGCCCCAAATACATTGTCAATTAACTAAAGACAATATCTGTAAAAGTGAAGATCAGAGCATACAAGGATTTTAAGGTTCACTTACAGCTACACTCAGAACACAGCAGAAGAAATATTTGGAAGATAAAGCAAATCTGATGATGCCATGTAGTGTCGTGTAAATGTATGACTTGTCTAAACATGCCCCAGCATTTTATGGCCTGATACAGCACGACTTTTTATTCATATCAGATTGAAGTTCAATGGTTTTCTCTTTCACTTTATCTTCATGTTCCTTTAAAATCCTGGAGGAAAGAAATAATACTTTTGAGAAAAAAAATCAATAATATCCATAAAGATCAAACCAAAAAACATTTCCCCCAAGCCTATAAAATTGTTCAGAGATTAACAGAAAATGACAGAATTTTGTGAACTAACAAACAAACAAACAAAAAAGTACAACTATGGTGGCTCCATCACAAAACCGCCTTTGTTCATTTAGTTAGAAAAATGTAGTTGGTGCCAATTGTTAGCATTTATTGTATATTACAGAGACTCAAACAGTAACTTTCATTTGTTATTTTTGAGGCTGGAGCAAAACAAAACCACATCTGGCTACCTAGACATTTATCAATTACCTGACACATTCACAAAATTTCACTAACTTCAGCAACAATATTGAAGATCTGTCAATTCATTACCAGTGTTTTCACCTCTGTAAGTAGTTCAGAGGGGACAGATTTACCTGTATTTTTACCCCTAGCCTTTATATAACTTCAAAAATCCACCCCTCTACAGACCAGTTTAAAAGGAACAAATAAATTCCTGTCAAACTAATTTAACAAACAGAATTCACTCTGTCATCAGTGACAGGGAAGCCAGGCACATACAGAACTCATAGATAGTCTTTTCTTCTTACCTAGCTAAGTGAAGCACAGACTTTTTGGTATTGTACCCAGAATATGCACTGCATTCATAGAAAATTAAATTGTAATCCTAGAATTAAACAGAAAGACTATTTAAATTAATTTTGCACAATATCTTACTCCAGCTTTAAAAAAGTAACACAGATATACTGAAATATGCAAATAAAAACCGAGAAATAAATCATCTTAGGAAAAAGTAGTATTTAATTCTAGAGCTAACAGTAAAGAGTAACAAAAGAAAAGAAGTCCAAGTGTGCCTCCCAAATAACAACTATATGCATTTCTTAGCAGGTATTTGTTTTATACAGTGGCTTTTGCTGTAAGAGCTTGATCTCTTAAAGGCTCAAATGCAAACATGCCTTATAAGGTACTGAAGTCTTATGAACTTTCCTTGTGATAATGAGGCAATTAGTACATCACTGAGGGCTTGACAAAGCAGGTGAAAATAATTCCAGTGACTTTTTTTTCTAATCTTGGAAAGCTTCAGCAACAGTGTTTCTGTATTCAACAGTTTGAGACCGATGTTTTCCAGTAAATGACCGGTTAAAAACCTCAGCAAAAAATAACAACAAATTAATTCTATTTCATTTTTTGTACTTGTGAAATTTTTCTGCACCTTCTTTCGCAGTCAGCCTGCACCTTTGGTTTTGTAGCCTCTGGCAGCTTTGTAATTAAGAACAATGGATAAATGATCAAGCCCTGGAGACATTCTCAGCACTTTAGCTGAAGCCTTACCACAATAACTGCAAATGCAAGAGACCATCTGCACAAAAACCTGACCTGGCACCTGTGATGGCAAGAGAAGTTTGAGAGGGAATGACAGATTATCCTCTCCAAAATAGACATCTGACTACTTTCACAAGATATTACATTGAAGCTCACCTACATTGTCTCTATGGTGTTACTACAAGCCCTTTTTGCCCATCCAGATTTCAACTTTCCATTCACTTTCCACTTTTCTGTGTCTTACTGCTATTTATGACAGTAGCTTAAAATTCAAGTAAGTCAGTAGCTTAGAAATGACAATCACATGTCTGCGTATTTTCATGTGTTTGCTATTAACTGTGGTTATTGCATTTGTACTTACCTAACCACCCTTCATAAGACACTTACAATTCAGTTTTCAAAAGTTCCCATTAAAATGACCAGGTATTTCAGTTCTGGTTTGTTTTCTTTTAAATATACCATGCTTCCAAAATTGCACAGCTTTTTGAAATTATCATCTTCATGAAATTTCAAAGACAAAAAGTGGGGGAAAAAAGTTTCATAAATATGGTAGTTTATTTTAGCAGCTCTAAAATATGCTTCAATGTTATCAAATGTCAGTTTTGAATATGTTGTCAATGGTTATATGGTTTGTTCTAATGAACATCAGGATTGAACCACTTGTAGTAATTTCTGGGCGGCCAGATAAGCACAGAAGAACAGAGAAGGGAAGAAATCAGGCAATGTTAGTGTTGGATGGATATTTTATTGATTTTTTTTTTTAAAACAGTGTTCTGTATAATATTTACAATGATGTAACCCTATGATTCTCTTGCTTTGCTTAGAAAAGTTTTAAGATAAAATCTGACCAGCTCAAATTTCTTGTTAGCTATGCAAACAGAAGTTTGAAATAAAATTTACACTCCTTTTTTCTGCTCAGCTGACCAGAACTCTACTGTGGTCAGTATCTAGCTACTTTATGTCAGTCAAGCAGAGAATGATACCACTCCTATATCTTCCCCACATACAACAGAATTTCACTAGAGGAGAACTCTCAGTGATGACATCATTTATGCTGGCATAAATCTGAATGGATTTTTCAACAAATTCCATGCGTAGGGCAAATTCTTGTTGGTGAAAGATAACAATTTAAACTCAATTAATACTAATTGCTTATTTCTGTCGGTCTGACGAACAGGTCTTTCGCTGGAGAGGGAGTCAGCTTGGAAATGCAACGTGTCATTCCTTTGAATCAGGGAGGAAAGTTAACTGATAGCACACACAACGAGAACGAAGTAGCAGAAGCAGGACACATATAATTAATAAGCCAGGAAATGCCATCCATCTCCATCCAGGAATTAGCTATTGAACCTGGGAGACCACTGGCAATTACTTCATTTTAAAAGGTTACATACAAATCAATAGACATCTAAAGAACAGGGAGGAAAATGAATGATTACGAGAGGGAAATGGGCAATTTCTAACCTCTAAAGTAGTATCACTCTGAGAAAAATAGCTCCCTCGTTAGCAGTATTTGTGTAACGATGGCACTGACAGATTGATAAAGGAGACACTGCATGAACACACAGTAACAGTCCTCACTCCATGAAGCAAACATAGTCTGCAAAGTCAAGGCAGACAAAGGCATTATTATCTTATTTTATAGTTGAGCAACAGAGATAGAGAAGGAGTTATTGACCCATTTAAGATCATTCAGGAAGTTTGTGCAGGGCCAAAATAAAATCATGCTGCCTGAATGCCTGAGCAGCACCTACATCATAAGCCATTTTATTTAAATAATTGGCAGTGGTTACACTAATCCACTCATATAGAACATTGGCTGTTGCTGGAGATGCTCACAATATGATCTGAATACTCTCTGTATTGTTGTGCTAATACGCACACTTGATCAGTGGATCAAGCTAAGCTAAACAGAAATTTCTTAAATGGAGTCTTCCTTCTGGATCCTCTGCTAAGAAAGTCAAACGGACTTGCCTTTTTTTGTTCTTTTCTTTTTTCTTTCTCTCTCTTTTTCTTTATACTCCATGTAGCTCTATCAAGAGACTTTTAGATGTTTTCCATCAGGTCATTCTTGTACTGCATATGAACATTTTGGTTTGTGTCTGCTCTTTCTCCCTGCAAAGTCAATACTGCAAAATTCTCCTTACCATCATGTTTATTCTTTAATTCATCCAACTATAGATCAGCTTCATCACAGCCTTGTTGTTCCCTATGATGTCTTCCAGAATCCCTACCCTCATTCTATTCCCCCTTTCCCGGGGTTTCACACACACACTGCAACTACCAGTCTTCTCAAATGACAAGGAATTGAAAGGACTCCCTTCAGGCTGCCATTCTGCCTTTTAATAATGAACTGTGCTGCCTGCCTTGCAAAGAAGTCATGATGTGACACGTGCATTATAATGGGAGCCCTTGTGTTTCTGACCAAATTTGTAGTACACTGACTTGTATGATGTGGGACTGAAGCAAAGCAAGAGTTAACACAGCTGGGCTGGGCTGGAATGCCCTCTGAAAGTACACATCCCTCTCTGACTATAGAAAAAACTAGGTAAAAATGATCCCGTCCTGTGAGACCTTGAAACAATCCATAAAAACTGTTGGACTTCAGTGTCAACAGACTAATCTGGTTCTTTGTCTGCACAAGAACAGGTTCAGGGTTGTTTTCACCAAATATGGCTCAGCATCTAGTCCCATGTATTTTGGGTCATTTGTGAGTAATTCATGGGATTATTCACAAAATAAGTAACTCAACTGCATTCACTAATAAAGACAGTGGTATGTGGTTTCATAAGAATTACATGGCTATTTAGCAAGAACTAATATTTCATTAAAATTCATGGTTATTATTAGCTCAGCAAGCAAACTGTTATAATTTAATTATATCTACACTGCTTTTCAGCTCATCCATTGTCATTAATCATTCCTTCTCTTAGCTACCTCAGGCAGCACATTCAAACATTCAAATGAGTCATTCAGATCCATTAATTTGATTATAACCATCTTTAATTTGACAACTTACTTTGTTTTACTTATGCAAGACGTTATTTTCTTGCATGACATGTTAGAATTAATGGCCTGGTGGGCTGTGAGTTCTGTATATTAGAATGATTCATCTTTGGTTTACTAGTACAATTTTTTAAGAGAGCTAAATGACACATAAGACACCTACTCTATCCAGTTAGCATTTATATGTCATTTGTTTTTTCACAGAAGGATTCAGTGTTACACCCTGGAGTCCCTCCTAGCCTCCAGGGTCTCAAAACTATCCGCATTTCCACGCATACAAGAAAATAAAGCAGATTTCCTAAAGGGAGAACCTTCGAGGGATGAAGTTCAAGACTGATATTGCTCCCCTATAAAAATGAAATAATGGACACAAACCTGAATACAGAGGTACGCTTCTAAAAGGCTGTATGAATAATCAAATTAAGATTAAAATAGATCTGGCCCTAATTCCTTCAGTTATAGAGAGATGCCTAGCAGCAATCTTTCCTATAAACGAAGAACAATTCAGCTACATTTCAAATTTTGAAAATATCCTTTTTGGTTACCAGCAAGCAGAGCTATAAATCTATTTTCAAAGGAGAAACAAGTACATATGTGAAATCTAGCACATTGTTTCACTTAGGTAAATTCCTACCAGCTCAGTTAATTTCTCAGGACTATTGGGATGACTTATTTCTAAATAAATGAATATTCTGCAGCCGTTAGTGTTGAAACTATATGCATTGTATAGAGAGATTCAGAAGAAAAATTGATGGGCATGGTACACAGGAATATAAACAAGTATCTGCTATTTGCAGTCCTTTAATGCTTAAATTATGTCCCATGGATCACCAGTGCTCTGGTAGGTGCAGACTGTTAACTCTACTTATTTTATCTCCTTGATGGAAAGTTACTAAAAGTAAACATGTTTTCTACTCCTACCATGGGAGTAACAGATGGTCTTCCGTGGTTTTACAGGAGGTAGGAAGGAGAAAAGATCCCCAAATTATCTCTCTGTTAAGAATCCATCCACAGAGAAAAGAGAGAAAAAAAGAGAGAGAAAAGGAGAAGGGAGGGGAAAAAAGAGAGAAGGAGAGAACAAAGAAAAAAAGAGAGGGGGGGAGAGAGAGAAGAGACAATGAGAGTGAATTCTTAAATATTTTTTGCACCACTCACTTTTTGTGGTTTTCATTTAGACAGTTTTATATCTACTATAATTATCAGCACTTACATCACTGAGAGCTGAACTAATGAGTGTGATGGGTTTCTTAATCCTTAAAAATACTTGTCTGATTAAAATTAATCTGTGTTTCTATGAATTCAGGCTCCATTTGAAAACCTTCATCTTCAAGTTTTGTAAGGGGTTCCCCTCTAAGGATAGTACCTTAGCAAGATGCTCTCCCATTCCCATAGGGACTTCACGTTCCTTTTCATTATCAGTTTTATTACCCAACAAAAGCACAGGTACATTCTCCCCAGTTGCCTCCTGCAGAACAAAGAGTAAGTATCAACTGAGGCATTGTATTTAAAAAATCACAGATCAAGAGGATAAAAACTTACAAATGTCACACTGCAACAAGACATTTAAGACATCACGTACAAGCCAGGTATGTGCCGCTTTACTTAAAAACATGTCAGGAATTAAAGTTGGATAAAAGGCATGAAAAAGACAGAATGCTAGAGATTGCACTAACTTGGCATTTTTTCAGTAACAGCACAGAAGCTTATCAGACTCTATATTAAAATGGGAGATAGAAAACTACCATGCTATACAGGCTCTGACATTGCATGTTTATAGCCACTGCTTTTTTAATTACATGGAGGGGAAAATAACGACAACATCTGCGTACAATCATGCCAAATAAATTACATAAAGTAGTGGAGAGATACACAGAATAGGCCCCCCCAAAAATACATAGAATAGGCACAAATAAAATTTCATTCTGAAAATGGTTAGAATCATCACAATGAGTATATTCATAAAGTGGGCTGAATGCTGCAGCAGTAAATGGACTTGGCTGTATGTCTTCAACTTAGCAATAGTTTGTAGCAAACAAAATTAGTCAGAAAAGATGAGTGAACTATTACAGCTTGGAAAAAGATTTTGACCACAATATTTGATTTTTCTGGATCAAAACCTGGAATTCTCCTCTAGCTTTTACCACACTGAGTTGTAACAATCACTGATTTGTTAAGATCATATATTTAATAAAGGCCTGTTCTTACAAAATGCATGCTACTATTACTTCAGTAGAGCTACTCAGATGAGGAGTAACTATTACTGTTTGGAAACATTTGAATGAATGAGTCCTAATTTCAACCTGCAAAGCCACCTATTGGCCATTACAGAAAACAGTGTACCATACTAGAACATGTGCCAAATAAAATCAGATTAAATTATCTTCGCATACCAATTTATCCCCTACTTTTTCAGTAGCAATACTCTGCAATAGTGAGCAAATAGGAAGTCACGCTTTGTTCTCTCTAGCGACTCAGTCCTTTATGGTAGCAGCCTCAGTTTTATTTTTATTTTTTTCTTTTGGCCACAAGCAAATTCAGCTGCTTGCACTCTCACTATGTTGCCTATAAGCTACAGAGATATACCAAGAGAAAAAAAAGAGACTTTTTAATTAACTGAAGCCACTCAGTGGCATGGGCTATGATTTTGTTTTCATGTGGTTGAAAGGATGATCCCCAGGAAACTGAACTGTCTACCACAAGACAGTTTTATAGCACTGATATAGATACTATAGCTTTAAGGTTATGGCTTACGTTCACAACACAGTCAATTTCCTGTGAGCTACATACTTGGTTGTCAAACTGCTAGTGATGATCAGTGATCATCAGACCATCATCACTGATCCAAAGCACCTTCCAGTGCTAGGGGTAATCCAATGGGAGCCATCAGCTAGATAACCTTTATGAGAAATCAGAGGACTCCTTGCTGTGCTTTTCCAACCACTCATTTTAAGTCCTTAAAACCCTGGAACTGATTATTTTCATAGACACGGATTCTAAAAACAGCTTTACTGGTAACTGTGCAGACCAAAATCACTAACAAAAAGGTAATTGTGACAACACAAGAAACATGCTGCTCTCTGTGCTTTGCTGTGCTAACACTCCCTGTCCAGAAGAAGGTAGAGATTAATGACTCAGAGTTTAGATTTAAAGTTATGTCATGTTACCTCAATGCTTATCAGCCACTGCTTGACAGCTGTGAATGTGTCTTTTGCTGTTATATCATACATCACAATGACACCATCAGCTTTTCTGAAAAACTGCTTGGTAATACTTCGGTACCTACAAGTAAGAACCTGTTTATAGCTCTCTTCAACAGAAATAGCAATCTGACAATATAAGTAAAATTTTATAGTAATCCCCCCTGCAAAGGAATATGTTTCCATACATTTTCTTCTAATCATCTAGTCTTAGTACGGGTTAAACCCCTGTTAATTTGGTTTACATATGTATTCTAAAATTCCATAAACTAGACAAGGGAGAAGCTGTAATACTGATCTTCATTGCAGATCCCGTTTGAAAGGTGAGGTTTACATGAATTGTAGTAAGCAATCCCATTCTTCCTGAATCATCAGACTCCTTTTCACATTCAGCAGAAGATGCATGGAGGACACTACTACCACAAATTACTGCAACAGCAAATAAATTATTTTCAAAAAAAATATTTTTTTAAAGAAAGTGTTTGGAAAAATTCCCTCTGCCTTCTTTAATTGATTCTGGGTTAGTCTGGATAATCAGCTGCATATCTCACCTTCTCCCATCCTCTTTCATTTTAAGCTTGGAGCAGAAATTCCCCCCTCACGAAGTGTTCTGCCTAAAGCTAGCTAGATTTCTGTTTGGGGCTTTTTTCCCAAGCATCCCAAGCCCAAGCTTCCCATAGGCCATCATTATCATGCTTGCTTTTAGTAACAGAAAACTACATAATAGGTGAGGAGATGGGGAAGGAAATTACCACTGAAAACTTACAAAAACTTGGAGATCTTCAACTACAACGGGATTGTTTTGGTGAAAAAAACCTTCTTAACTATTAAGGCATTTTCTGCTATAGAAATAATTCTAGGTACATTTTAAAATCAGCCTTCCTCCTAAAGAAATTGTGTGGTACTAAACTTTTAAGAGCTTTAATAAGAATCTCTTTTACAGATTGGCAGTTTTTCAATGGACACTTAGCACCAAATCAGCACGTTATTACTGCTAGAGAAGAATCTAAATTGTGAATTCACTGGCTCTATTAGGAACACTCCTGTATTTGTTTCTCTCCATGAAGCAGGATTAGGTCCATGCTTACTAAGCTTCAAACAGATGATTCAAGGAAGCAAGACCTTAGAATGTGTACTGGTTTTGGCTGGGATAGAGTTAAATTTCATCATACTAGCTTGTACAGGGCTATGTTTTGGATTTGTGATGAAAACAGTGTTGGTAACATACCATTTTAGTTACTGCTCAACTGTGCTCAACAGCGTCAAGGCCTTTTCTGCTTCTCAGACAACCCCACGAGTGAGTAGGCTGGGGTTGCACAAGAAGTTGGGAAGGGAACACACCTGGGACAGCTGACCCCTACTGACCAAATGGATATTCCAGCGAGCAGCTGTGTGGTGCTTAGCTGACTACCAGGGTTAAACCCACAACAGAATGTTTCTCACCGTTCCTGGCCAGCAGTGTCCCAGAGCTGCAGGGCTACCTGGGTATGATCTACTGTGATGGTTTTCACATTGTAATCCACACCTATAACAGAAATACAAGGTGGGTTGTCTCTTTATATGCTCAGTTTGATCTTTGAAAACCTGATGCAGCAAATAGCAACAATTCCAGAAAGGTAACAAGACAGATACTACATTAAAAATTATGTCCATAGTCTCTGACTATCAGAGACCAGCAAGAGCTTTTATTTGCCAGAAGTTCTTCCGTAATAAAATACTGAATGCTAACAGACTAGTTGAATTTTTTAAAAGCTGTAAGATCAATAACTTTCCAAATCACAGTACACAAGTCAAGGGTCTATTTGACAGTCCACAGCAGTCTAAGCCATTTAGCCTCGAATTCATGCTGTATAACTCCAGTTGTCTGAAATTTCAGCGTTTAGTCTGAGCTAGCCACGTAGGCACCTTCTACAGCTAGTGGAAAAACACAAGGCACCACACTAAGGGGACAGTAGAACCTAAGATAAGTGCTGAAGGTAGATGGATTGAATATGTGGAGAACTTCCTCCCCTCTTCAGAATACAGAAGATTAGCTGACTACAGTTAGGCTAGTCCCTAATTTTTATGTGGCTAAATGGAAGTGAGACAAACATTAGTTTACCTGAACTTTTAAATGAATGCTCTCCCAGTTCCCCTAACCTGTGATGATATAAGTATCTTTTGGATATTTATAACAATAATTAGAGTCTTAAATATTAATCAGTCACTGCCTTCTCCTAATGACAACCTGCATGTTCTTGTATCACCCTGTACTGTATCATAGAATCATAGAATCATAAAGTAATTCAGGTTGGAAGGAACCTCAGTAGGTCATCAACAATTTCTTTGGGGCCATTTTCCACGTAAATGGGATTTTTACCACTGGCATTAATGAAGAAGCATCCAAGCCCGCATTCCTTCAATGGGCAATTAAGAAATTGGGATGGAGGATATATCCATTGCTTATATCTCAACAGAAGAAATTTGAGCTATTCTGTAGAAATTCAATGAGAACACTCTTCTCCAGGTTGTTCACTTGACTTTTCAACAGTCTGTATCTTGCCAGCCATAGTCCACACCTGTGAAACTCATTGATGTGAAGACTAAATCAAAGCTATGACAAATACTTTCTTCCATTGCATTTGCAAGAACACTGGATGACCCACCAAAAGATGAAAAGGTCAGATGCATTCCTTTGTTTTTCCTCTGGAAGCTCCAGGCAATTGCACACACTGTGTAAGACCTCAGAGTCTAAAGAAGCATATCAGCCATTTACAAGACAACATGGATAGGACATAGCACCAGACTCTTAAACGTAGACAATTGCATATAGGTGTCTAAGCTCCCATTACAGCTAATGAAGATCTAGTCAATGAAGAACCAGGAGTCTAGGAAATGACTAAGCTCACCCTGAAGTAGGCATCAAGGGTCAGATTAATTGGTCCCTAGGCTTCTCTGACTGAATTGATTTGGAGAGGATGGCAGGGTAGAATTCAGCTGTTTGCTCACAGGCACCTAGTGCTATCTTAGATGCCATTCAAAATGTCTGTTTCAATGTGGCAGGACACCCAGACCTGCTCTCTTCCAAAGCAGCAGCTGAAGGCCAGGTGAAATACCTTATAGTGCCAAAATGAATTTAAATCCCTATGCTAAGATCTTAGATCTTCCCTGACTCTAATGTGAACTTAGACACTCAACATACCAGTAGAAATTTAAACTCAGGTGTCTTTATCTACCCTGTAAGTCAAGGGAGCTACAGCAACTGCTCACCTGAATGTTCTTAGATTGTCACAAATGCATGACAAATCCATTAATTTAAATACCTTTTATTGTGAACAAGTTTTATTTCATACATACTGCAGAATAAGTAAGGCCTAAATACAGGCTAAGTATAATGAATCTGGTCATTTACAGTAACTCAGCTGCATTGCAATAACCTATACTTAAGTTTTTGTACCTTGATTATGTGTCTGAGTTTTGAAAGTTTCGTTTACAACTTCAAGCAATGTAAGCACAACATAGGCTTTGAAATGATTGGCTTTGAAAACACTGGTCCAACATATTTCTTTAGTGCTTAGTATAATGCTAAATCTTCAAACTAATTCAGATATTCTACTTTCTCTTTAAAACAAAATCACATTACTTAAAGGGATAGAGATGGCGTATGGAGGTGGGATGGTTAGTACACTGCAGTCCAGAGGACAGGGTATCAGTTCAGAACAGTGAGATCTACAAGGAAATTCTAGCTTCACTGAAAGCAACAGGATTTTTCTGATTTATTTCAGTGCTGCCAGGATTTCTGTACAGAATCTACTCTGAAGCCTCTCCATTAATTATCTGTTTCCCAGTTTAGGAGAATTCACTTTGCACTCTCCTTTTGGATAATGGTTTTTACAACATCCGTATGTGTCTGTTTTGTAACACGGGGCCTGATCTCAGTAGAAGTTGCTAAGTACTGTTGGAACAAAAATAATAACAGTAATAATGTTTCTTAAACTTACCTATAGTAGCAGCTGTGCCTGGGAAAAAACGATCTTCACAAAATCGCCTTAAGAATGAAGTCTTTCCAACATTCGAATTGCCCACAAAAATAATCTTGAATAAGCGGTCTGGGACAGAGTTTATTCTCTCCTCCTTCAAGTAAGAGCAAACATTAGTCTCCAACTGTTCCTTAAATCCTGTTGCCTCTCCAATTTGCCTTGTCTTGAAGGCTAACTGAGATAGGAAGAAGAATAGATTTTATCCTATCATGTTCTCCATTACTCATAAAGCAATATTCTGTTTCTTAAAATAACACAGCCATGCATCATTCCAGATCATTTGAAGTGCAGCAATTTGGACTGAGCTCTGGAAGTATACTGAATATGAACCTTGACATGAGACTGTATTGAAAAATGCATGAAATTCCTAAAAGAAAACGGTTTATGTTCATCCCTGCAAATCAAAACCCATAAAGCTTCACATAGCTCTGTTCAGTAGTTTCATCGTATACCAATGACACAGAGGAAACAGCACATCTTCACCTAGATAACAGAAGCAAAGTCATAATTTTTCGGCTTATGCCATCTATCACCAGATTCTTCTCTCTGCTACTAGTGTGGAGGCAAGAGCTTCCATGGAATTACTGCACTTCTACATCTGTTTAACATTATAGGCAGAAGCATGGGGGAAAGAGACAGACAAAGAGAATTAGACCCAGTTAATCAGGCTGTAAACATTCAGCTATGTTTCTGTCCTTTAGTTTTTTAAGCAGAAAGAACAATTTGTTCTGCCTATCCATGTCCTGTTTCAGGACATGCAGGCTAAGCTAAGTGGATGCTGGAGAGAATATTTATATCCTCTGTCAAGTAGGTCATTATTCCCAAGACCTTTGTATGTAGATCAGGTATGTTGCTTAGGGAAGAACACTGTAGAACCAGCTGGTTTGCAGGGGGTGCCCTAGCCGGCCTCTTCTCCTATTTTGTGCAAAGGTGGGGGAGGAAGAGGGAGATAGCGAGTTTGTTCTTAATGCTGCAGAAGGGGAGCAAGATCGTGGATGCTCCTGGCATTAGTTTGTTGGCACAGGGGTTGTGAGGAGGGAGAGGAGAGGAGGGAAGGCGAGGGAGGGAAAGGCCCTCTGCCAGGCTTTTGAGGTACAGAATCCCTGAGAGTGCTGACTTCAAGAAGACATCAGAACTGAACTCACTGCCCAACAGTCCTTTGAATGGGACATTGAAGTCTGGCCTTGCAAATGTTTTCTACAAATATACTGAAGCCTTACAGAAAGAAGCAGAAACAATACAGAGCTGCACTTGATGGGGAAAAAAAAAAACAGAACTCGAGCTGCTGTCTTCCTTAGTATGAAAAAAATACATTCACTGCTGTAAATTTTGGGGACAAAAATACAGGCCTCTTTCATGAGCTGGGATAACAGCCCATTATAACTATACAGAGATTTCTTATCTCATTGTTCACTACTCCTTTTCTATTAAAATCCCAAACTCCACTGCAACTATAGGCTGTAGTAATACACATACATCTATATAAAGCACATTTTCAGTTCTGCTGAAAAACATTCCCAGCTTATTAGTCTGCATGCTCTGGGAAATAAAACAAGTTAACATACAATCATCAGCTTGGCACCATTTTCACAGTGCTTCTGAGAACAATAACTAAATACATGGACTACGTGACCTGAAATACCTTGTCCCTGGTGGTCATACACACATCGTAGCACTAAGACTGAAAGACACCAGATGCCTTCAGCTAAACTCCCAACATAGGCAGTCATTTTTCATTGAGCTGTATCAAGTCCACTCACGAAAATAACCTTAATAATCAAATTTGATTCTAAAACTGGTCATGAACACTATACTAAGGGATGAGCTACTTCATAGTCTGCTTCAACAAAGTGCTAATGGGATAATGGAATAGCAGTGGGATGTAAATTTATAATGCAGTCTGAAAAAGTCTTCCCTAGACGTGTCTTTTGAGTGGCCTTCATATAAACTGTGGCCAGTTCAACTAACATACTACCTTTTGTGCAATTTAACACAAATGTGGAAGATGGCAGGTATAAACACAGTGGTTCATATTCCATATTGAAGGAACAGAGAGGAGAGGAATTGCATGTCACGCAGAGGTTTTGACAGAAAATCTTGCTTTAATTTCTATTATGGTTCCTTCAGGTGTTTTCCCACTCACATTTCTGCTTATACTAACTGCAGCTTCGTCTTCATAGCCACTCAGAAAAATGTTCTACCTGACTGTTAACAAAAGAGCAGTTGCTGGCCTCATGTACTGCTGCAAATTCTTAGCCACTTTCAGAAGTCACCTTCCATAGGATGGAAATGGACTTGTTCATTTCTAAAAGGAGAAAAAATTTACATTGGTTCTACTTGCCTATAAGATGCAGTAGGTCATAAAGGATTAGCAGCTAAATGACTGTGAATGTATGGTAAACAGGAAGGCTTAATGCTAGCAGCTAGGAGCCTGAGTTCAGTATAGTAAGCAATGAGGTCATGGAATGCAGTAATACAAAGCCATGTAGACTACAGGAACACAAATGGCGATGAATTGAAAAATACAGGTTGTCTCAGATCCTTCATCTTCCTAGTGCAAAACAGAGAATGACAAGATTTCATATCTGAGTGAGCTACATATGTAACAAATGAATGGAATCATTCTGCCTCCTTTACACAAGTATTTCTAGATCCTACACTCCTTTATACTGCAGATCCTTTGAGCAGCAAGACATGAGGGGAGAGGACTGGCTGCAGAAGACAGTCTGGTTGACAAATGGCCCTGAGACTCACACCTCATAACTCATGAGGCAGCAAGCACGGAGTTATCTTTTTCTGAAGTTTTCTTTAGCTCCAGTTGAGGATTATATGCAGAGCTGCCCTGAAAACACTTACTAATTGAATACCACTCCTCCTAGCCCAGGCATTCTATTAGGAGAGGGAATCAGTGTGCGAGCAAGGTATGGAACAAGATCACTTCTGATGTCTAAATCTCATGGTCAAAAAGTGGTGATCCCAAGAGCCATCATTTAGGAAATGCAAAGTTGTATGAGAAATTCATCCGACTACAGCTGCTGTATGGAAGGAGACGAAGCACTTCTCACACAAAGTAGCAGTGGTCAGACACTTACACAGCCTAGAGACTGCCCTAAGCAATGGAATGCCATCAATTGAATACTCGTTGGCAGGCCTAGTCAGCAGGCCAAGAGGACCATGCAGGGCCATGCACATATTTCAGTGCCACATGGACAGAGGGTTTATCAGAAAGGAGTATTCTGCTGTGTTTTTTTAAACTAGATTTTAAAAAGCAAGCAAAAAACCAACCCAAAGTAAGGGCTGGGCTAAGGCACTGACATTTGACAGAAAAAAAAAAAATGGAATTCCCAGTTCTAAGTGACCTTTGGAAATGAACTTCTTGTTTACCCTGACGATGTTTCTTTAGAAACTGAAACAAAACGTTTTCAATAACCAAGCAGGAGACATTTTATGATTTCTTCTCTCCCCTCCCTCCTTGCTCTCAATTGTTTTTGGGAAAAAAAAATTGTAAGAAACAAGATCTGAGGGAATGCCCAGTTCCTACCCAGCTGAGAGGACATACTTTCAAGGAGCACGACTGCTGAAACAGAGCAAGCAGTTTATCCGAGCTGGCCCTGATGACCTACCTGGCTTTTGCTATCCTAAAGTCCGATCATGCCATACTTCAAATATGTGATACAAAATAAGTCATATAGCAAGCAAAAAGTATGCATTGTATTAAATCATTTCAAAGGATGAAGCTCTGTTCCATGCCCTAGACTTTTTATTAAAATGTACCACTTAGAAGTTATAATGTAACCATGGCATAATTCTACCATAATTTTTAAGATATGCTTGCTTCTTCTAAAAGAACTATATAATTATGACCAAGCATAGCTATTTTTCCTATACTTTAATCTTTTTAATATGTGCTTCAAGAATCTAAAAATGAGTAACACTTAACAATGATACTAAAATTAGAAAACAAGCACAGCTAGCTCTGAGGCAACAGCAGTGCAAGAAGGACTTTAGACTCCAAAGAAATGTACCTTCCAGCATATTGTTTTAAGGTTTATTACTGCATGGTGAATTCATTGTTAACATGCACATACAAGCTAGAGCTGAAAAAAAATCTGGATTTCAATTTCCTAATTAAATGTCCTCTCAAAAAATAATTAAAAAGTAAAGATATTTGCTCTCTTTATTTCTCAGGTAGTGTAACAGGTACCAAAGCTGACTCAAAAGTATCAGAATATAAGAAATGTCACTTTCTGGCAAAAAAAAACCCCAACCTTTCAAAAAAAGAGTTGCTTCTTTTTTTAGACAATTGCTACCTTTCAGTGGATCTTCTTGTGTCATCTATTACAAGGCTTACCTTCACTTTTTCTAAACAGTCCTTCAGACATAAGTCTCTGCACATATTTTCTGCAGTTACCACTCCTTTAGGTTGAGTTTCCCTTCTTTGCACCTTGAACACTTATCTGCAGTATATTTCCACTTCCCTCTTCATGCAATGGCTTAATTTGTCATGCTTTAAGTTAAAAACAGAAAACTAAATAACTTCAGATTCTAAGAATAATGCATTACCCTTCAACACCATTTCATCTTTTCCAAGGTCCTTTAGAACAGAAAGAATAGAATAGAATAGCACAGAATAGACTCGTTCCAGTTGGAAGGGACCTACAACGATCATCTAGTCCAACTGCCTGACCACTTCAGGGCTCACCAGAAGTTAAAGCATATTATTAAGGGCATTGTCCAAATGCCTCTTAAACACTGACAGGCATGGGGCATTGACCACCTCTCTAGGAAGTCTTTTCCAGTGTCTGACCACCCTCTCGGTAAAGAAATGTTTCTAATGTCAAGTCTGAACCTCCCCTAATGTAGCTTTGAACCATTCCCAGGCGTCCTATCACTGGATCCCAGGGGGAAGAGATCAGCACCTCCCTCTCCAGTTCCCCTCCTCAGGAAGCTGCAGAGAGCAAGCTTTTCAGCCTCCTTTTCTCCAAACTAGACAAGCCCGAAGTCCTTAGCTGCTCCTAATAGGACATGCCTTCCAGCCCTTCCACCAGCTTTGTTGCCCTCCTCTGGACACACTCAAGTACCTTAACATCCTTCTTAAATCCTGGGGCCCAGAACTGCATACAGTACTCAAGATGAGGTCCCCTTTGCCCCCTTACATTTGACAATGTTTTCTTCCCTACAGGCTGCTCTCTAGAAGATGATGGTGAGTGTTCCATTGATTGTTCTGTGTTTTTCTTATCCATTTCCACCTCAGAAGAAGTATTCTCATCTTCTCCAATCCATCTGTTCACCTGTTTATCAACCAGCCTGTCAAGAAGCTGGGGTAGGTGATCTTCCTCAATTGATATTATTCTTTGGAGATGCGATGCTTTAGGCATTCCTCCAGTGGCTCCAGCATCAGGCTCTACAGGGAGAATTCCATTCAGTCCAGCAGAATTCCTTCTCTTTGAGTTACTGAAAACATCATCTTCTTCAAATGCATGGCTAGAAAGAGAAAAAAGTAAGTACATCACAAAAATATACTGGACTCGGACTCCCATGTTTTTTACTACTCACAGCAGGCATAGCAGATTCAGTCCAATGTCTACTGAAAAGTCAGCTCATCATACAATGTGTATATATATAGCATGCTTGATAATTATAAGCTAATAACTAATAAGCTAATAACTAATAATAAGCTAATAACTTACAGGGAAAACCTGAACCAGAACACAAAACATAAGATTAGCCTCATTTCTAACCTCATGGGATAGCTAAAGTAAATTTCTCTACTGTGATTTCCTACTCCCCTCCCCGCTCTATTCTGGAAGAATAAAACAACCCCCTAACCCAGACCCTTTCTATGTGTAATCTAATTCTCTCTTTAACAGGTAGGAGGGAGATGGGTTTGTTTAATATGGATGAAAAAAAGGCTAAGTGGGGATTCAGCAGAAGGGGGAGTGTAGATAAAACAGATCCAGAGTCTTCTCAGATGTGTGCAATGACCACAGATGCAAGTTGCAGTAAGAGAAATGCTGGCTTGATACAGGGAACAAAATTACTTCATGAGACTCGTGCAGCAGGGGAACACGTGCCCAAAGCGGCTGTGGGACCTCCATCCAGATGTTCAAAAACTCAGCTGAACAAGTCCCTGAGCAACCTTACCTAGTTTTGGAGTTATCCCTGTTTGAGTAGGAGATTGAACTAGAGACATCAGAGGTCCTTCCCACCTAAATTTTTCTATGGTTTTTGTGCCATAATTGCTTTTGCCAATTATGCTCCACTTCTTAGTACTAAACTTACTAAACTGTGTCTCTGAAAGCTTTCCCTCCTTACACTTCATGACCCTGTGCCTGCAGGGACATTGTCTTAGCTGGTATTTCAAAGTGAAACATTAGTCTTCTTTCCAGCTCCTCTTGTCTCAAAGGAAACATGCTAGTGTTTCACTGAGATCATCATGTTGTTCCTGTTGATTCCAAGTTTACAACCACACAGTTGAGAATTAAATTCTCCATGTTTTACTAGTTCCACATCCCATACTTTACAATAGGACTGCTGTCCTCTGCAATGAGAGGGGAGGAGGTATACTCTTTCAGAGAGTTACCAAGGACATTGTACCACATCAACATAGGGTAATGGGCAAGCTGTTGTGCCTCCCAGCATATACTCATCCACAATGAGGAAGTCTCTTGCCTTTGCAGACAGTACACTTGTTTTATGTGAAAATTTGCCTCTTTATTTCTAAATTTCTTAAAGAGCACACTAATCTTATAGTGACAGACACTTTAGAAATACATGCTTTGAAAAGTCCAAAGGTATCAGAAAGAAAACATTCCACATCTTCTTTCTATACGCCTCATCGTACTCAAACAGGGGATACATGAAAAAAAGTTCTTACCTGTTAGGCAGCATCTTGTCCTCTATGTATTTCCCAATGACAGACCCTGATCTTTGCTTCCAGCTGGCTTTTGGAACACTTGTTTTGCATTTCTGCAGAAATACAGAATACTTCTTACTAATTTACTCCTGTTGTTCACTATGGTAACCGCCTTCATTCCTAATGCTTAACTAATGCAATGAATATGAAAGAAAAAAATGTAGAAAAAATCCTAGAGGTATAAAAGCTTCAAAATCCTGATTGATAAACAACTAGAACATGGAAACTCCAGATCCTGCAAGAATTCATCTTCTTTGTAAACTAAGTGGACCACAATAAAACAGCATAATGTCATGAAAAGAAGTCAATAGATATATCGTGATTTACACTAGCAGCTTCTTGTAGGAATAAGAACACAAACAAGCGTAAACTAAGTGGCCTTAGTCTCCATAAGCCAGGGTACTTCTGGAACTTCTTACGGGCCCATTCTCTGCTGCTGGATAAAAAGTTAATGTGGTCTGCTCTTACCCAGTACCGATTGGTATTCAGGTACTGATTCAGGTACTCAGATATTGTATTGTTGTATAAACGTTTTAGGATATTAGCTACTCTTGACTGAACAGATTAACATAATTTAATTGTTCAATTTTTAGGTTATTTTGTCCTCTCATGATTGCATCCTTAGCTTCTTATAAAATACATTCATCTCCCTCAAGATAGCTCCAACTTTATAATTCTAAAAATGTAGCTCTTGAAATTATTCAGCAAATTTAAAAATCTTATTCTCAAGTGAGAAAAAAGACGATATAAATTAAGAACGGGGCAAGATTTAAGTAGCAGAAGAGTGTCTCCTGCACAGCCTTCTAATTCCCTTCTTTTGAGTCTGTTCTGATATGTGCTTGCTCAACATTGGGTTTGAAAATAATAGTTGTTTACCTGTAAAAATATGTCACGTTCATCTTTGAGATGTTTGTTCCTCTCCCTGCAATAAGAACACAAATAAAAGAAACACTGAGGCCAAGTATTTAGAACTGCTGACTTTTCTACTCAACACTTACAGACAGACTGGACAGTTGGCAGTGTAAAAGGCAAGACAAATGCACTTTAATTTGGCATATCTCCACCCTTGATCATGCTTTATGTATATTCTCACCACAGCCAGTACCCTGTCTGGGCCATTGAATCTCCAGCACGTCTATGCTGATTAAAGCCAGCTGGCACCTGGCCCTCATTCTGTAGTTTATCAAAACAAATGCCTTAACACATAGAAATCAGTTCTGGTCAATATGCATTCACTTACTCTAAATTAGAATGTTTAAAGCTTTTCACAGTAACGACGACTTCTTCATGTGGAGAGGGTGTAATGAACACCATCTCTGAACACATTCATCTGGTGACAGCTGTGAAGGCCAGTTATGTCCCTCTGAGGGCCACAGTTGTGTCTGCCACAGAAAAGTCTCCCTTGGAAGACATCCATCTTCCATTCATTATGCAGAAGAGATGAAAATGTCAAGAAATGGACACTCCAGGCAATCAGCCAGCTCTGATCAGATCTGACAGTGCACCTGCTTAGTACATCATTCATTGTCTCCATCTATTGCTGGCCTGGCCACAAAAGAGGCTGAGTAGCCATTACAGCCTTGGTGAACAGAAACAACCTCTGCTCTCAGATGTTTCTATCTATGGCCCCATTACCAGCAGTAGACAAGACCACACCACATGGAGTGGCCTATGGGAAACACACTGCAAAGTAAGAGCCTTTTTTCAAGCATGGGAGCTTTTTAGGTAACTTTAAAATGAGATCTCCTAAAGGAAATGCAGTGAATGAAGGCCTACAGGCAAGTACAATCTACAGCCCATGCAAACTTATCATTGAGCAAACAAAAACTAACATTGCTGCACATTAAAGAGGGTTACAATTGTCTGAACACAACTCCAAACTTTGAAGTCTATCAATACAGAAATGCTACAGAGAAAATCTGCTAGCTGTATTTTGATATAATTTTACAAATAAACATTTTGGGGAAAGAATCTTCATTTTGGCTGTACTCCCATCACTTTAGAAACAACAGAGCCTTTTAGTAAGCTTCAAGTCTCCTGTGGCCAGGCTTCTACCATAGAACCAGCTTAGAACAGTTCGCCATTGTTTTGTTTTACATTTGACTTTTGGAACAGAGATTGTCCTGCAATACTGAATTGCCAAAACAAAGCAAATCTTTCATGTGTACTGCTTGCTACTGTGTGCAAGATGGGGCTTACAAAAGACATATTGTCTTTTGTAACCATTTTTGCTACCTTTTGTGTCATTATCCTGCCAGGTGCACACCCAGCCATTCTCTCACTTCCCCTCCTCAACAGGACAGGGGAAGAAAATAAGATGGAAAAGCTTGTGGCTCAAGATAAAGACAGGAAGATTGCTTACCAACTACCATCACAGACAAAACAGACTCAACTGTAGGATATAAGACAAAAAGATATAACTAAAGTCACCTTCTCCCCCCCACCCCTTTTTCCCAGGCTCAACTTCACTCCTGCACTCTTGACTCTTCTACCTCCTTCCCAACCCCGAGTGGTGCAGGGGGATGGGTAATGGGGGGGTTGTGGTCAGTCCATAACAGCTCCTCTCTGCTGCTCCTTCCTCCTCACTCTTTTCCCTTGCTCCAGTGTGGGTTCCCTCCCACAGATTACAGTCCTTCACAAACTGCTCCAGCATGGATCCTTTCCATGGGGCACAGTCCTTCAGGAACAGACTGCTCCAGTGTGGGTCCCCCATGGGCTGCAGTTCCTGCCAGAAAACCTGTTCCTGTATGGGCTCCTCTCCATGGGCCGTAGCTCCTGCCAGGAGCCTGCTCCTGCAAGGGCTCTCCGCACGCTGCAGGGGAATCTCTGCTCCAGCACCTGGAGCACCTCCTCCCCCTCCTTCTTCACTGACCTTGGTGTCTGCAGGGCTGTTTCTCACAGATTTTTTTCTTACTCCTCTCTCTCAACTGCTGCACAGTGTTTTCTACCCTTTCTTACACACGCTTTTGCAGGGGCGCCACCATCTTGGCTGAGGGGCTCAGCTGTGCTCTGCAGTGGATCCATTGGAGCCAGCTGGAACCAGCTGAGTCTGGCACGGGGCAGCCCCAGCCTCTCCTCTCTGGCACAGAGGCCAACCTTGCGGCACCCCGCTGCCAACACCTGGACATCTATACTCGGTACACATCCCAACGTAATTTCATCCTTTAATGTACCTCTAGAATGATGCAAGAAGTTCTTGAATGTAAGGGCTGCATCACCTTAAAAAATCCAGCTGCTTCAGAAGTCCTGACTTCTCTCTCTGTAAGGTTTCTGTCACTCGGTAGACCTCCCTGTAATGAAAAGAAATAAATAAAATTGTTCTAACCATGGTAATAACACTGCTAAAATGCTTCCCCCTAGGAGTATCCACATTTGAGACACCAGCTTCTCCAAACCTGTAGATTTTATTCTGCATGAATGGTTACTAATTTTAAAAAAGCTTATTCAGTATAAGGCCCACAGTACCACAGCAGTTTGAGTCAGCAGAGGAAGGAATAGAGATTCTTTTTAAAAAAATTATAGCTTTATAATTTCTTCATCCAGAGAGCTTAATAGATGCTGATAATGGCACTTGCATCATTCAGAGAAGACATACTGCTGAAATCCTTCTCACTCATGGCCACTAAAGACCATGTAACATTTTATTCAAAATTACAGTTTATCTTGCTGCTGGAACCATATGTCAGGCTCACACATCTACATTCCCCACAATTTCTTTTCAGTTCCTGACTTTAACAGTTATGCAGCCTTAAACATTGGACACAGCGTCTCAGATTTTTACACTAGATTTAGACCATTTACTTTGACTTAATGCAACTTGGTGTCTGGCCTTAAATGTTTTTTGCCTTTCAGTGAAGCCTCAAGTTCTTCCTGTGCACAGTCTGAACATTACACCTGCTTCAACAGCTCAGGTCTTACCAGACTGATACAGATGTTTAAAGCAACACTGCAGGTGCAGTTGAGTAGGGCTGAGCTCTAATTCCATAAAGACTATTGAATCCAAAGTGCTTTGTAAATGCAGTAGTATTATTCAGCAGTCTGACCACTGGGCAGATTTCCTCTGTAGCTTTAAAATCAGATCATTCCACAGTCTTTCCACTGGATCTGAAAAGAGAGGCCTCAAAGAGGAAACAAACCACCTGGAGGAGGAATATTTCTACTGTCTACTTCCAAAACGCACATCAAACATGCAAACTTAAAATTAGTGTTCTAAACGCAGTGGCCATTCTTTAACAATCACTTATCAACAAAGTTCATTATTTATACCCTCAAGAAGAATTAAATTAGTAATAACTAAGTAGAGTTTGGCACAAAGCTTAGCAGAAAGAGAATATGACATTTGATCTAATATTCTGCTCTATCCTGAAATATGCCAAATAGCCACAGCTCTGAGTTACGTAGTTCATTGCTGAAATGTATAGAGTCTGGCAAGATATGCACCCAGCCTGGTATCCACGTGCTCTCCATTGGCACCAAGAAGGTTTTACAGATCCCTGAGCATTTTTTTAAAACTATCTTCCATTAAATGGACTTCAGCGAACATTTCTGCCAATTACAGCTTCAGGCTAATGTAACTTACTTTGTGCAGAAGGCTGGAGCAAGACAGGTAGATTGATCTGTCACTTAAAGGCCATTTCTATCCCTCAAAATACGAATCGTAAATATTTCTTCTTGAAAAATATTTTTTAATTCAGAGTCAGTATCTGAAAGCCAAGACATTTGAACTGTAAACCCCAAAATGATGGTTCTGTATCACCATAAGTCCTTGTGTGAATTGTGATTTAGCTGCATAAGCTATGTTTTATCCTGCTGGCCAGGCTCCTTGGTCAGAAATTATGTACTAGACTTGCTTTTGATGACGAAAAGAAGCACATCCTAGCCATCTCATAGCCAGAGTACATTCTGAGAAGCAAGTTTCAGATAGACTTAGCTTTGAGGAGGATGGAGCACCATGTGCCACAACTGTAATTTCTGTAAGGAATTCCACTGGTATTTCAAAACTAAGACATACTTTTTAACCAATTAAACTAATTTTTAATTCCAAACACTCTCAACAAATGGGTGTCGGGGGGGTGGGAGAACACTGACATTTTGAAGAAGTAGCAAAAGATTCTGTAGAAGCCAGATATGCTACAGAAAACATGCTGAATTACTTGGGGAAAAATTACTAGAGCTGTACTTGGCTTTGCTGGTGGTTTCTGCTTATGACACAAACTTAAATCACAGCACTGAATACCCTGAGGAGGAGGCTCACTGGCACGCTAAGCAAATGCACTAGAACCACTGCAGCTGGAGACTTACATTTCCTTCTCCTCATGTAGTCTTGATGCCTCCTCCTGAAGCACCTGTAACTGTTGTTGAGCCAGGCTTAGTTCGTGAGACGTTCTGTCCAGTTCTCTCAGCAGCTCCTGGTTAGTCAGCTTCAGCTTGGTGTTCTCTACTTTGGTTTCTTCTTTGCCACTGAGAAGTTCTGTACACTGCTGCTCTAACTGGGATGGAAGAAAAGAAAACAGGAAGTATTATAACTAACTGAGGCATCTTGGTTTTGAGGCTTTCAATTCAAGTCTCAGAGGTTAGTTGAATAGGGAAGCTATTTCTATCAAAGCCAACATATGAATAAAACACATATGGTGCTCTTCCACTGCTCTGTGTACAGACATAATTATGTTACACAAAAACAAAGTCATTCCACTCTATGATTGAATTTCATCCAGTTCAAAAATGCACCAGGAAAAACCACAAAAAAGGTGTTTACAGAGCATATTAGCAGTACTTAGTTGATGTTCACAACTGCTATTTTAGACAACTTCCCACAATGACAAGGCCTACACAGAGTGATTCAGAGTTCCTAAAAACTGTTAGATTTAAAATCCCATCCCCAGTAATATCAACAAGCAGTAACCTTTCTGCCACCTCAGCTAAATCTGCCTAGAAGTGTGAATTAGAGCTTTTTTATTCACTTTTATATTCATTCTCCAAAGTATATACAAAGGAAAGATACATCTTCCCTGTGAAACAAGTAACAGCAGATGACAGTGGTTTCTAGTATGTAAAGAAGCTCCACCTGCTTCTCCCTGGCTAACTGAGCAAATTAAGATGACAGAGCAAAAGTTAAGTAGACTAAAATTAGTCCACTTCATATTAGGGAAGGCACTGCTGACCTGAAGTCATAAAAACTTTTTTTTAAATTTTTTTTTTTCAGTATGCGTTTTAAGGGATGTAAAATGTACTAGGAGCATTACGATGATACCAGTTCAAACCTCCAGATCTGAGACACAACGGAGGATTTTGTTAGAACTCTCATTTTGCACATCCCAACAAGCAGAGCTCACTCAAATCAAAATCTGTCCTTATCCAGCTCTGCCAGTCTATTCATGGTCCACAACACTGCTGTTGTTCTAGTCCTGGTTTTGAATGCAACCTGAAGGCCGAGGTTCAAAACAAAAGCAGAAAATACCTTCCAGCTGGGATTGTGAAAGGTCAGGAACAAGAGTAGAGTGAGAGCACTTATCTCAGCAGCAACACCAGCTTAACGTATTTGCTGAACTGTAGCCTCAGCAGGCTCACAGTTCATATGGAACACTGACTAGCTGGGCATCAAATTACTGCTGAGCAATGTTGGTTTACATTGATAGATCACTTCAGTTCCTGAGTATTGCTTCCATTCCTTGACATAATGAAGTTGTCTATTCTAAGTAAAAGACCAGACGCTTTAGGTACTAGAAGACAAGACTTTCTTATCCAGAGGAGTGGTTTTGGGAGAAGCAAAAAGTGATCACACAAAGATGAACTTTCAAAAAGCTTAAGAGCAACACATTGCAGGCAGAAATCCCACTTACAGAATACTATGGCCATCTGAAAACTTACACAGAGACTGGCCTGGAAATGTAACTGCAATGGTAGCCATCATCAGCTCCCAGAATCATAGGTACTGATGTTAGAAATAATTGCTATAAATCCTGGTGCTTACTCTTGTGAGAAAAACAATCATGTTGAAACTATGCTCAATAGCAGATGCTCATAATATTTAAACCCCAGGACCCAACAAGAGGAGAAAGGGTTATTTCACAGCAATACAGAGCTCCTTCCTTTCACTGTATCTATACAATCATTTAAGTGATGCCAAACACTACTTTTAAAGCATTCATTTAAACAACTCTCAATACAGTGGAATAACTCATTAGGTGGATGTTCAGCTGGTATAGAATGGCATAGACCCTATAGGCTCTAGCCGTTTATTGGAGCTGCAAATTGGCTCCCATGGTCATCAAGTAGACGAAAATTGATTGGGAAAGGCTCATGGCCCACAGTCATATTTAAGAAAATCTAGGAAGCAGAGAGAATTAACCACAAGTCAAGCTGAGACAGAGTAGCTGATGGTGTATATTCTCTCTTTTTGACAAAAATGGGAGGAAAAACTCACAAGTTTAAAATCGAGCAAAGAACTGGGATTGTCCAATACAAACAAACCGTTGCTGAGGACAGCTATTGCTGTCCCTCAAAGACACATACATTAAGCACTCTCCATGCATTCCCTTGTCCTTAGCTCAGCATCCTTTCTGTATTTTTTCCCTTTTTTTTTTCCCCTATTTATTTCAGGTGCATGTGAAAGATGAAACATTTAAACAGTGTTATAAGGCTGGGGATTATTTTGGTTTTTATGCCTTTCTTAACAATCCTATCACTTGATTTGCATTTTTGAGGGCTACTGATCCATGTTCTCACGGATCTGTTACTCAGAATCCCAAGATCATGTTCTTCAGTGGCTGTCATCAGCACAGAACTCATCATTTTATGTGAGAAGCTCAGTAACTCTCCTGCGTTTTACCTGGTCGACACCTACTTTCTTCCCCTAATACAAGATTCTGTGCCTTAGATGTTACGCTGAACATCCTCTATCCCCAGTGCCTCCTTCTGAGACATGCCATCACACACCCCTTGAGGAAGACTATCGAGAATACATCTAAGCCATGTAGAGCAAGCTGACAATTCAAGATCATGGTAGCCAGCAAAAAGGCCTAGCCAAAGGAATCTTGGCCTACAGAAGGCCAGTCAACATGGAATCAGATCAGTATTTCAGTCACACCAGGCAGAAGACCCTCATAAGGGAAACTCCCTCTGGCTAAATCAGCAGAAACAATACTCATCTCATCTTGCCTGGAAGTTCCCTTTCACATTTTTGATAATAATTTCCAACACAGGAATAATTACATTGTATTTTAAAAAAAAAAAAAAAAAAAGAAAAAGACTTATTAATGAAGTTTGGAAAAAAGCATTTGTATTATTCCCAACAGGTTCCCTCATATAATCAAGCATGAAAGTTGTAATTAAACCAAGCTGCTATTAACATCTGCAAGAATAGATTTAATTATCAAAGTATATTTCCATGCAAGAGGAGGAGGCAAAAGTGACAGAGCGCTCTGGATGAGGCAAACATTAGACAGGTGGAAGCTAACCTAGCACACATTGATATCTAGGTGAATGAAGAGTAATACCAGAAAATGAGTGGGGTTATAGTATTATAAAAACAGATCTGAGGAAAGATGAGAGTGACTCTCAGAGATGATCATTAGGAATTAGAAAAATATATTTACAAAATACTGCCTCTAACTATGCTAAGTTAAGCATTCAAATAAACGAACTAGGCTGCTATACCAGAAAAAAAAAATCAAATATTGTGTATAAGATTGACAATGGGTACCAATCAGTTGGTTGAATGACAGAAGTTTCAAATGCCATCAATCATTTGAATAAAATTATCTCACTCATCACATCATTAGAAGTAGTGAATTCCATTTGTCCAACACAGCTTCTTTTCCATAAAAATAAAATGGGATAGTTTAATTTTTATGGTACTATGAAGATCCTGTCCTTCAAAAGCACCCTTGTTGAGACTCATGCAAATTCGTAAGGGAGAGGGGAAATGATAAATAATAGAAATTACAAATAAAATAGAAAACACAGTAATATTATTAATAATAAACAATGCAATGAATAGAAAAGGAAAACATAAAATTAGATTAAATAAAATACTAATAAAAATAACACAGACATTGTTTTATGTTCTCCAAGATAGGCAACAGTAGACAATAGGAAATGTAGACAGTAAGCATAAGATAAAACTTCCTGATACTGCTGCCTGTATTACTTAATTAGACCAGGCTTAAAAGTGAGTGTAAGTCTTTGAATAACTTCTGTGTTTTTTATACCAAATTTAGAACACATATATTTTAGAGAACCACAGGAAAATGGTTTTTACAGAACTACTGGTTGATAACTAAGTTTTAAACATCGCTTTAAAGCAAAAAAAAAAAAAACAAAAACACAACACACCAAAAAAGGAGAATATAAAAATATAATCATTACAAAATTATGATAAATAATGTATTGTATTTTTGCAGTTAGCTTCATTTGTGTGCCCCCAAAGATCTCTTCAAAATATAGATTATTTCACTATAGTGCTGCAATGTGGTAAACAGTCTGCATAAAACCAGATTCTGATTCACAGTGGTACTGAACAAAGGTAATTAACATCGGGCAGTTGATTTCAATTATGTAATGGCCTTTTAGTTCAGTCCTATATCCTCATCAGCTAAACTTGCATAATTATAGTAAGCTAGAGGTTTGTCTCCCCTCTTACTCAAGTACAATCTTACAATTCCCATCAGCTTCAGCAGCACCTGGATTCATTCCTCAGAGAAGGATCTAAAAACTACACACAACTAGGAAACTGACCTCAAACTTCTTTTTCCTCTTCCTTCCCTTCCCCTCTTATTTCTCTCCTATTTCCCCGGACTGGCACTCCCAAGCACTGCTGCCAGAAAAAGAAATTTTACAGGTATTTTATATTCATATTCTACAGAGGGAGTTGGTTTCACAGCATTCCATTTCAGCCCTTTAAATTCTCCCTATCACTAGTCTTTCATGCACTGACCTTGGAGACACTTCACAGCAAGTTCACCCATGCACAAATACTCTGCTTCCCCAAGCAGGCCATGCATTTTAAGAAGTAAAACACATCAGGCTTTAATATGGGAACTTGACAGGCTGTTACCATGCAGAAGAACAATGCACTGCTATAAAACTGTTATCAGAGAGAGATGTATCATGAGTAGGTTGTTCAGGAGGGAGCATTTCAAGTTCATAGTGCTGAATCGTCCGAAACAAGTAAATGGTTGGTACAAGCTTTGAGCAAAGGTGTACACTGTAAGACCCAAATAATTGTTCTCTGCTCTTGAGCTGTTTGGGCATTAAGCCAGTTCCTAGCACATTGAAGGCAGTGGAATTCTGCTATATTTTCATAAAATTAACCTAGTACCTGGGGAGAATACCTGGAGCATTTTTTTTTTTCCATTTTATCATATAAAAGGAAAACTGCTTTACAAATAGAGGGTAACATTTTTCCTAAGCACATGAGTAGAAGTCTAGCAGTCATAACTCCACTTTTAAATGCATTCCGGTATCTACACTCATGACACAAAAGCAACAGAGAGTCATAGTTTGGCAGAACCACATCACATCAACTTGCATTTTTGGGACCTAAAATAGTACCTAAAGAAAATCATATGAACAAATAAAAATTATCTATTTTTAATAGATATCGGATAATACCCTTTTCTGTTTTTGAACCAATTGTTCCAGTTCTTGTTCTTTTGACAGGAGCTTGCACTCCAGCTCTTGACTGTAGGACTGAAACCTCTCTGTGTCCTGCAAAATTCAAAGAGAAAATGTATTAACAGAACAGCACAATTTCGTCAGCAGGAGGAAACATAAGAAATGAGGCATGAAAATAATAGGCAAGCTTTTCACAGTGAACATAACGAGCTACTGATAGAATGCAATTTAGGGATGGTATCACTCATGAATCTAGAGCTTCTGTAAACGGGTGTGGTCCAGCAACTTCAATAACTGCAGTTGCTACAGGATGTGCTGATGGCACATGAGTAGGCATCAAGTCTACAAAGTGGAGGCAGAAGTCTTCTATCCTAGGCATGAGACTTAGCAGCTTAGCCAACCTAAATCAATGAAGCTAGAGTGCATCCTCTCATTTCCAGCCACACGTACCCTCATCCTCTTATACACTAGCATTCATGCTCATCTGTTGCAGCAGTGAGCTGTTTCAGAGCTAAACAAGCAAAAAAGTGAATAGCTTTCTGCACATTTGGTTTCCTGAACCAGACAACTGCTGACACAGAAGAGTGATGAGAATGCACTGATGGAAACAATCTGGACAAATTTAAATTATTATGGAGTCATACTGTAACTCACATACAAGATATCAGGACTGACATAGGAGATACAGGCTACTGACACACAGCTCAGCAACTCAGGTTGAAGTAAAAGAAACAATACCTGCTACCTTTAAAATTCATCACTAACAACAATTTGTCACAGATATTCCACTGGTATAAGCAAGTGATCTGGGCTTCAGGCTCTGCCATTCACTTAGCAATTGTATCAATCTGTCCACTACCTAAGTATCCTGCAGTCACTGGGAACTCCCAGTCCTATTTGGGATTACCCCTTCAAACACTCCTCAGCTGAAACAAATTGTAAGTAAAATCGGGTTCCAGCAGTTCATATCAGCTGAGAATATGTCCTATTCCTCCACAACAGGCTTCTACTCTCTAAGGTCCCCAGGAAAATGCCTCTAAACAAAAATAAAAATTCCCTCAAGACAGCAGTGGTTCCTACATTCTTTTCCCCTTCAGCAGTACGCTTAATGGGGTAATCAAATGCATGTTAACTGGCTTCTTATGTGGAAGAATATATATCCAAGTGAAAAAGACAGACTAACTGCCCCTTTTGTACAACCTTCAGTCAGTAGAGTATTAAGTACTGTAAATAGCTACAATTTGTACTTATTTGCATCTTATCAATTTCTTTAAATGTATTCTTCAAGAGCTGCTCTTCATTCAAACCATAATAATTCCCCTTTTATATGACATCAATGCATCTCTCCAGGCTGTAAAGTCTTTGTGAAACTTTGCATTAGAGAAAGAATTTAACAGTCAGATCTCCCCAAATCCCAAATTAGTCATACCAAGAAACAATAGCTTCAGTGGGAAGCTTTAGTGAAAAAGCTTGAAAGAAACGGCTTTACCTCAAACATACAACTAATTAGGAGATCCAACAATCATTGCTCACGGAAAAGTCATCATTGCTTTAGGATTTTCAATACAACTTCAGTTGTGGGTCATTAAGAGCATATAAACCATTTCTTCCACAACAACTGCTGTAAGGCAAAATTGCAAATACTTCTTATACTTCAGCTGATATACAAACTTTATATAAAGGGTTCATCTCATCCACCACTAAAAACTGCTCTCAGCTTGGAATGGAAAAATCTTGAAATTTATGAGTCAGGTTCACTACCCTGTGAGGCAAATTAAAAGACTGATTCCTTAGACAGGAAGGCTCTTTCTTAAATTAAGGCTCTTTTTGCTCTAATACACTTTATGTCAGGAAACAAAAAATACTGTGGATCCAATATATTGGATATATGTGATCCAACATATTTGGATCACAAAAGGATTTTTTAGATACCATATTTGATTGAGAATGGAGGCAATAATTGATGGATATCCATTAGTTTTGGCAACATTTTGTGTACCATGTGTTGTCTGAAACCATATATTGGTTTCATTTGTATGACTGCTTTCAAGACAACAAAAAGGCATGAGCCAGTACCTCCTGATTGGTTGTCCCAGGCCACCCAGAGAAGCTGTGGAATCTCCATCATGAGCATACTCAAAACTCAATTGGACAAGTCCCTGAGCAACCAGATCTAGTTTGAAAGTTAGGAGCAGCATAGGTGCCTTTCCACCTAAATGATTCTAAGGTGACTCTTTCCTGGCCATACTGGGAGTTCTTGTTAGTTTCCTTGTTTTAGGAGAAAAAACATGACAGAAAAATCCAAAGAACAGACTATAAAAGCAGTAGAGGAGATTTAAAGGAGACTTCGTACGAAAAAGGAATTCATTGTCAGGTGTTCTGGAAGCACCACAGCAGTGACAAAAGAATCTGACCTATGTTTATTTTGCAAACAGTTGTGGTGGTTTCAGAAATTACCATCTCTTGATTTATCTGTTGTTGCTCTTCAGTGAGAACTTATCTCCTCCTCAATAGCAGAGACTGCAGAACTCAACAGGATTAGTGCTGCTCTGAACAACCTCAAAGAGCATTTTTCCTAATTGTGACCAGAACTTGGACCCCTAGCAGCATCGATAATACAATGAAACTGTAGTTCAGTTAACTTTCAAAAGAATGCCAGCTGCTACTGTATGCCAACCACTGAGCACAGGACATCAATGCTCCTCTCATCCACCAAGTCACTTAGTTTGAAGTTGCAGAGCCTGGATCAGTACAAAAGTAGCAGTGAGGCAAATGATGTTTTTTCTTATTCTGTTGTGAAACACATTTTGTGGGCTTTCATTTCACACCCAGAATGAGTATAAAACCACTGGAAGAGGGAACAGAATCCATGCCAGCAATAACAGAGACACTCACTTTCAAGAGAAACTGCTCTTTCTCCTTTTTAATTTGCTGTTCCATTTCCTCATAGAGATGTTGAATTTCTTCATCATAAGCAGCAAATTTCCTAATAAGAGATAAAAGTATACTGAGTAGGTCTTTGTAGCATTACTCCAAGTCATGGCTCACTTTACAAGCTAAGCTCCACATTTCTTCCTTAACACAAGACTCCAGAAAACATTCTAGGGTTAAGAAAATAGGAATTTTTGTGCAGGAAAGGCCACAGATTTTTTTTTTTTCTCATGGAAGGAAAGCTTCAACAGCTCAAAGGCTAACAAAGCTACACATCTGATGTTTCCATATAAAGCAGCTGTTCATTATGCAGTTCTAATGACTACTAAATCACTAGGTTTAAGGAACAGAGCTTCCTAGTGACAATACTAAGAATACCAGAGCGTAAGTTTGCCAGTTAAAAGTATTTTCACTGCAAGTTCGTTTTTTTACTCTGGAACTGCATTGTTCACCATTCAAGAGCATTGAATAAGGTACTTCTATCATGTCTAAGATGTTTTAGCTAGACTAGACTTCTTGAAAGTCCTTCTTTGAAAGCTGCCTTAATGCCTCTCTAACAGCTTTGCTGAAACAAATTTGAAAAGCCCAGCTGAGGAACAGGAATAAATATGCTATGCACAAGTGTATCTGACTGTAGGAAAAAAGAAGAACTTAAAAAGCTCACTTTTTCCAATAGAATATTGCAATTAATATCACTGCAGTTTGATACATGAAGGATTACATTGAGCAGATGCTTTAGTTTGGGCAGAAAAAAATTAACTGTTGAAAGGGAACAAGACAGCTGCTTTGTTCTGCTTCTCTTCTCTTCTATTTTCACTAATCCAGAAACTCAAAAGCAAGAATCACTTTGCAATCAAACTCAGGGGACATCCTAGAAAGATTTTTAATAGAGATTAATAGGGCTATGACACTACTGTATATTCCCCCACATTCCTCTGGCTACAGCTGTTCCTTGAGCAATCTGCAGAATGCATCTGTTACAAATAAAGTACACAATCTCCTAGGGCATTCACACCAATAAGAGCAAGACAAGGAACATACAATAGAAAAAAAAGCTGTTAATTTGTAATCTAGGTATCTACTATTTTTTTTGTACCTAATGCTCTACATATTCTATGTTTTCACTTATTAAAGGCCTGATTCTCTTCTCAGTTAAAGCCAAGCAAATCGGAAAGAAACTTCAAAAAATTTACCTAAGCTAAGAGGAGTGAGAAACACCAGAAACAAGTCTGTCTTTCCCCCTTTCAAACATCAGAACACTTGACATTGCCAGCTTGTATTTTCAGTCACAGGTAAAAAATGAGAAGGGGAAGGCATTTTCTCAGGATTTACAGCAGCAATAAACAAATATCAAGCTACACCAATTTGAGGAAAACAATTGCTGTCACTTAGATTTTTGTAAACTCTGATTAGGTGAGAAAAGCAGCCCAGACAAGGGCCTCTTCATGTGACTGCAATGCTTCAAATAGAGAGTGCCAGAAAATCCAGAAACTGTTTTTGCTACCTTACTCCCCTTATAGTGTAAAGTCAGGTCATGTTCTGATCTCAAATTTTATTTTCTTAAAAATAAGAAAATGCTTCATAAGAAATTAGCATTCGTCAATGGAATAAAATAACACAAATTCATAAAGAATTAACAGTTATTTAGAAAGGTATGGCAGAGATGCTAAGATAATATTCAAAAATACTGTATTCACGCAGTATAATGACACTTTGATCAGGGCTAGATTGACTATGTACTGAAAAAAAACCTTTAACTTTGCACAGGCAGAACATATTGCACAGCAGTCAGTGTTTCCATGGAAATCATCAAGATTTTCTTTGCTTCGGTATGACAGGGAGAATAACTTTAGTCCCATATTATTAAGCTGCTGATTTAGATATTTCTTTCCTCTTACGTGTTTGGAAGCAAAGGATATGGCAGCACCATCAAGACTACATCCAGGAGGTATCTTGAGATGTAGGAATCTTTTTACTTGATCTGGCACATAAGCACATACCATTTCTGCAGGCCGAATACTCCCCAAGCATTTCATTCATGGCTTACCATTCTTAACTCTGATCAAATTAAACAGAAAGATAAAATAATATCCTGCTATAATCAAAAGTGTAACACAATTATAAGTAACTAACAAGCAGCAGAAAAAATAATCCAATACATTAGCTGGCAAATATTCCCCACATGCAGCCAGGGGAAAATAATTAAAGCCATAAGGGCATATCATTGTTATGTGAAAAATGCAAAATGTTTTGATTAAAATCTCTATTCCCTGGGATCATACCATCCAGTTTTACTCAATGCATAATTGTATAATTTCAGCAATATTTGATAACTTGATCTTTCTCTTTCCAGTAATGCTGTGGAATAAACAGAGATGGAGACGAAAGGGAGACGGTGCTGTTGTTGAGCACATTAACCAAAATGGAACGTAACGTGAGTTCACTAAGTTCAGATGACGAGTTCAGGATCAAGACACTCACAAGGATTTAATTTCTGCCCATTCATGTAGCTGCAATATGAATTGTCTGGGTTTCACAATTGCTGTTCATGCAGTTTGTTATAATGGTTTTTCTTTCCCCTTAAAAAAATACAGCAACTTGCGCACTTTGTGCACTAATCTTCTGAGATGCTGATTCTCCTGTTCTTCCACCAAAGGTGGACTCTGACACTGTCCCATGCTAAGCCCAATGAGAAGTCAGTTCATTGTTCCCTTCCCGTTTATCCTTATGTTTCTCTTCTTTGTTTAGAACTCTGTTTGAAACACAGTCCGGCTTTTTACTAGGTTTGTCGCTCAAATGCAAAGCACAGCAGCAGACAGAGTTAATGGCAGTTGAAGATTTTACCTGCTATTAGAAGAAAAAGGTCTCTTTCTCTTCTGTTTTAAGCTTACTTCCTATTGGTCTTATTAAATGTGCCTTGTTCTACTGCTAGGGATTTGAAGAATAACAGTGCCTCATTCAGCCTAGTCAGTGGTCTCATGGTTTTGTAAAGGTCTATCATATCCCACTCCAGCCTTTGCCTCCTCACTCAAGAGATCCTACCTTTTAAAAATAGCTCTCTCAGAATAGCTGTTCCATTCCTTTAACCGAGTTGCCATTCTCTGTACCTTTCTTCATTCCACTACATTCTTCTTGTGTTGCAGAGACCAGAACTTCACTCACTACTCAGCACATGGGTGCACCAAGATTCTATGTAGTGGCAAAAACATGCTTTGTCGTGTTCTCAGTACCCTTCATGCATAGCATTGTACTGGGGTTTTTTGGCTGCCATTGCACCCTGAACTGATGATTTCAGGAAGCTCTCTGCAATGACCCCAAGGGCTTTCTCCAGAGTTGTAACTGCCCATTCCAAGCTCAGCATCATGTAAGCATGACTTAAATTATTTTATCTTCCTTATATTTATCTACAATGAAGTTCATCTACCGCTTTTTTGCCCACTCAATACATTACTATTTAAAAAACACCACTGCTAAACTTAAGAAGCCATCTAATTTTAAACTAGCACTTAAAATTAAATACAAATATCAGAAAATCAAGGAGAACTAACTTACCCTGGCAAACAAAAATTGTATCCACTGTGTAGATGCCAAAAGCAAAATGGATGAATGTATGTACTAGTCCACACTTTCACTGCACAGCTTAGTCATTGCTAAGCTATCTGTATACTGTACAGATATATGTACAGTATTTGGTTTGATACATTACTGTAGTAAAAGTCTCTCACTTTTGTTTAAATGAAAAGAAATAAAGAAGCATATGAGTATTTTTAAAAGGAGAGGGTTTAAACCTCATATTTTAACTTTGCCTTAAAATCTACAAATATAGGCAACAGCTTATCATCAATTCCTTTATGATGATAATCACCAGTGAGGAGAAGAACACCAGTTCTGGGATAAAAATGTGGTCGTTTGCTTTGTTTTCCTTAAAGTGTATTCAGTTCTACGTAAAAACTCATCAGCAGTATTTTGGCTGTTGTTCTACTGAACCAGAATTACAGATCACCTAAAAGGAGAAACATGTCCATGGTTATATTGACACAGAATATGTCTGATGCATTGACAGACATCTTCTGTGAGTGTATCAGGAATATATTTGGTATCTTGGTAGGCATCTTTGTTGAAACTCTTTAACTAAAAGATCACAATGGTAGGTTTTAAGTTTCTTCTCTAACAACCGTCTTAACTGCTTAAAATAAAATATAAAACTGAGATGAGGTTAATATCTGACAAAATTAAAGTGGGTCTGTTTACCTGAAATACTAAAGCAGACTTTTAATACTAGAAAAAAATATGGCCTGTTACTAAGCAATAGAAATAGTCGCACACTAAGTATGCACAGTGTCGTAATTTACATGTTCAGAGGACAAAAACACTAGTATCTGTAAGAGGGTCAGCAGTAGACAATACAATATGCAAATCTCTTCTTCAAGACTATTTAAAAGTTACCAACATTTTTTCCTAGGACAAAAACTTACTTGGCATATAGAAGGTTTCTTTAAATATATGCACTCATATATATATACACACACATATATAAAGAAATATATATATAAATAAAAATTCACAGGGAGATCAACCCTATGCCTTTGAGTAACACCCAACAAGGCACCACAAATTTCCTCTACGCAGGATCATGCTGCATGGTATACATATGTATTATAAAACTTATCTATAAGTTTACTGAGTTCTAGGAGAACAGTTTTGTAGGAGACGTTAACACTGGTATAGATTAAGTGTTAAAGCATTGAGATGACTAGCCTGAGGATTAATTAACAGAACAGAGCATGAGAAACTACTGGACATTATATGAGAAATTGCTGGACATAACAAACAACAGTGAGAAACTGACAACAGTTTCAGATAGCACCCTGATGGATGGCTTTCACAGGTGTTCTAGGAGGAGTTACGCGGTAAACAGCCAACCTCATAGCTGTCTGAAGGAGAGTATCTGGCACCTTTGGGGGAGAAGAATCTTGTCAAGGAAAACAGCATCTAAATAACCACATCAGTAACACCATATAAGGGCAAGATTACTTAGGTATCAATATCAGAAATATGAAATTTGCATACAGATGTAGAAAAACTGGGACCAATGTCAAAAAAAGTATTTAGGGACAAGTTTTTTATTTATGAGGACACAAGGATAGAGAAAGGGACCAAGGTGGATGTGAAGGGGAGGGATAAGTGGCTTATTCAAATGTAAGCAATCTGATGGTTAGTATATTTGTCTGGTCAAGCCCTGTGTCTGATTATCGCAGACTATGCTATCTTCTTATTACATCCTATTTCTAACTGTGTGAACATGTCTGTTCTGTGTGGGTGTTATTCATTAGCATACTTCAAGCCGAACTAGCCAGCAAGAAGGAGAAGATCTCCATCTGGAAAAACTCAAGGTCTGACCTGATGACTGGAGGTAAAGAGACTAGGGTCTCAGCATGGGCATTAGATGGACTTAAAAAGCCTCATGCTAATATCTGAAGGATCTGTGATTGTTAATGAGTGAGCAAATGAACGTATTCTGGTAGCAAACTTCAATCCAGCTGAACCAGCCAGCCAGCAAGCAGAAGACGACCCACATCTGGAAAGATGCAAGGTCTCAGTCAAAGAACGGGTAAGGGGCCCAGGGTGCAGGCAGGGACATTAGGTAGGCTAAAGTCCACGCTAATATTAGAATCATAGAAATATAGAATCATAAAGGTTGGAAAAG